CCCCTTCCATACATTAGTATAAGTCCAATTCAAGTCACCAAGTTGACAAATTATTTGAGTAACACATTGTCATCATACTCACGCCACCCAGCTAGCTATTCATATCTTGGCCCCGGCCAGATTAAAAAAACATTTCTCGTTCAGTCTTCTCCTGTACCCTACAGCGTCACTGTCTTTACAACCTTCACAATAAAAGATAGTCTACTCTGGAAAACTAAAAGCTCAATAAATCCAACAATATTCACGGTTTCTCCGATGCAATAAACCGGTGTTGCAATCTTTATCACCTTCAATCTCAGATCATAAAGTTTACCATTCACGAAAGTGTGCTTCGGAATACTTAGGGCTAATGAAAAGAACTTTTTAGTGGATAGAATTTTGTTTGCTAGAATAATTGTACTAGATCAGTTTGCTATTATTCATTTAAAAGAACTTTTTAGTGGATAGAATTTTGTTTGCTACAATAATTGTACCAGATCAGTTTGCTATTATTCATTTAAAAGAACTTTTTAGTGGATAGAATTTTGTTTGCTACAATAACTGTACCAGATCAGTTTGCTATTATTCATTTAAAATAACTTTTTAGTGGATAGAATTTTGTTTGCTAGAATAATTGTACTAGATCAGTTTGCTATTATTCATTTAAAAGAACTTTTTAGTGGATAGAATTTTGTTTGCTACAATAATTGTACCAGATCAGTTTGCTATTATTCATTTACAAGAACTTTTTAGTGGATAGAATTTTGTTTGCTAGAATAATTGTACTAGATCAGTTTGCTATTATTCATTTAAAAGAACTTTTTAGTGGATAGAATTTTGTTTGCTACAATAATTGTACCAGGTGAGTTTGCTATTATTCATTTACAGTCAATTGCAAAGGCAGATTAGTAACGTTTTAATATATCAAGATAATTACTTTACATGATGTTCCTGGGGTGAATGCCGCGAGGCTTTCCATTATCAAATCATCGAACTAAAGTAGGGTGATTACTAGATAATTAAAACTTGCACTGTTTTAATCAATCAGATTCTAATGATATAGAGCCAGACTTTGTTCCATATATACCCCCTGTTAACAGAAATCCAAAAGACAAAGATAACGTGCATGTTATGTAAAAGATTGCTGCATATTGTGTAGTAAAGAGATTAATAAACTGTATAGGTTTGTGGAATATCTCTTTCCTTATTCCATACACACTGTAGAAAAATTTATATTACTAATGCAACTAGACAAACCTTCCGTTCATAAACATATCTATTCTTTTAGCTCTACTTTAACTGAAAATTGAGAAGTTGACTTTATTTAATGATAGTTAGTTTTCGTTTGCATCTGTTAACTGTATCTGTTCACCATGTATTTGTTGTGACATTACTTATCCCAGTGTGGCAAAAATGTACAATAAAAGTCGTCATTCATTTATTAATGTCAAGCGTCCATTAGATATAATTGATTGAAGCTGAACAGTGTAATAAGTGTGACATTATGTCATAAACAAAAGTAGTTTTACATCCAGCGCTCGAGCATTTTATGTCCAACAGGTAATAAAAAGAGAAGGAAAGTGAGTTCATTGTCCTTCACGCGCTAGAGGCTTCTACACATGATAGTTGTTAGAGGCAGTGCCAGGTCACACGTGGGCACCTCCATATATTTGACCAGTTAAAATGAACGTTTGCATACATCCCTCTGGCGACAGGACTACCGCTACGCTATGTGATGTGTCAATGTCAACTGGTCAACGGTTCATGTTTTCCTATGGCAGCCCCGTTGCTCGAATATACATCAAATAAAGCCGTCGCTTTGATGGATCGTACTACCGTATGGCTCCACTCAAGTCCAGGGGCTGATAGCAGGAAATGTGCGTAGTTTATATCGCTGTGTAATAAAACAACTGCATACAAGGTCTGGCCAACAACAAAGTACAACTATTCTACAACACCTATTCTAGATTTATGGCTGTTTGTCAAAAGTATCCAACGATTTTGCGTCCGGGTTGGAATTGCAATTGAAGATTTGTTTTAAGAGTTCATTCTTCAATTTTGTCTTTTTCCATTAGGAGTGCATTACGAACCGGTAGATTTCTAGACTTTTCCTTTTTCTTGCGATTACAAAGCATGAAATATGACTGAAACCAAGAGATGTTCAAAGTCAGGTAGTACTGTACTGTAATGTACATGTAGATACATCAGAGTGAGAAGAAGAGTGTTGTATGTCCTTCAGATTTCATTACAGATGCAGGACATCAGTCAATGCCTCCTCTTTGTCCCTGGGTTATTCTACGCACGCAACACGCCAAGTCGCAATCCATGCTTTATAACCTTTAAAGGTGTAATAAAGTGGCCAAACGTACACATGGGAAACGTGTAATATGAGGACACTTTCAGTGAGTATTCAAGCAAGTCACTGTAAAACAGGGAGATTTACAGCCGTGGATCTACACTGTAATAAAACCTAATAGGAGCCGGAATGGGAATCCATCGGCACTGGTGTAAACGCCATCAGTTGAGATATCGAATGCTGCACATCATCATGCTTTTAGCTGCGTATTCGTCAGTCGACACCGGCGTGTTTCGTATGCATTTATGGCCAGTGAAGCAGAGTGGCAACTTTCAATTTGCAAGCGAGTGGCCTTTGAAGAAACGCAACGAAGTTTACTTTCAGGCTGCTAACTCAAGAACATATGCTGATGGCACCAGTATGATACGAACATTGTAAAAGCAGGCAATGCTCTGTATCATGAATACATATATGCAGACTCTTGCAGACTTTAGAAGCCTCGGTGGTAGAGGGAAGAGTAGAAATTTTCCAAATAGACAAATGACATATGAGGGGAATTGGTCTGCTTCGGCAGTACGTACATGTACTCCCTTGGCGTACCAACCCCCCTGACAAGTCATCTGTCTATTTAGTCAATTTCTACTCTTTTCTCCATCACCGAGGTATCGAGTTACTACTTGTAATGTAAATATGATGATGATGAATATTATGATGAACTGCTAGTATGGCATGTATGATTCATGTAAGCTCTATCTCATGCTGACGGGTTTTGTATATGTACGAGTGTCTGATAAATAACTGCCAAGTACATCCGAAACGTAATACCGTGTACGTGGAACCGACAGCCTTGCAGCTGATAACTTCTATGTGTGCTCCTCTGCGGGCACTCAAATGAGAGTGATACAGACTTTCGCATTCTATTACATACAAGATACAAGATCTCTTTATTGGAAATCGCAGTGTTGCCACTGAATTAAAACCAATTTACAATTCAAAATAAGGAATTCATTAAAAGCTGGAATTCATTCCAGTTCACAAATATGGACAAATTATACACACACATTACAAAAAGAGGCAATTGCAAGTTACTGTCCGTGCTGGTTTACAAGTCTTGTCATGTACGGCACACAAGAGTTCAAGTACCGCTTCGTTCTGGCTTTCGGACAGTTCAATTTGTGGTTGTTGCGTGTCACTCTTCCAGTGATCTGAGCCCTAGGTGGTGGGAGCCAGTCCCTGAACTCAGAGCCTAGCAAGGACCTAGCAAACTTCAGAGTCAGCTGTTCACGCCTAGAGGCAAGTGTTGTCAGTCCGAGATGCTGCAGAGCATGTAAATACCCGCAGTAGTCTTTGCCCATGATTGTACATGATCTTTGTACATGATTGCCCATGATTACATGGAAAAATGAGAAGCTGTGCACAGAATAGCATAAAACTTGCTGTCAGGAAATTACATTCGTGCTGAGAGGAGATCCAGAGGCGTCAGGGGGAAGAATCAAAATGAGTTCTGTCTTCCGACGAGGGACTAAAGCTGCTTCACCGTGCGGAAATTTCCATTTAGCAATTGACATGATTGATTGATAAGGAAAGAGGAGGCTCATATAACCATTCTCACATGGCACGACTCAATAACAAGGCCCATAACTCTTTCCAAGACTCGCTCGTTAGATTCGGAATACAGCAGATACACCTCATCAACAGACGACGGGCAGGCATGATAACAGTGCTGTCAAACCAGTTTTGCTGTAATTTATAACCTGTCTAATACAATATAAACTACGACCGATAACTAACTGTGACTTGAATCACCTTAACGAAATAACAGTCGTAAAACGCAATGCATTTACATATAGCATTTCACTGCTAGCGCCGCTGAAGCTGGTACCAAATTACCCCTGCGGGATATTGTACATACATGGTGACTTATATGCCTGGACAGTAAAGCTATAAATAAATTAGAACACTAATCAGCTTTCACTCCTGGAAAAATCTTACTTCTCCATTGCATATGGCTCCTAGCTTTAATCTAGACATGTAATATAGAATACAATTATCGTTTTACTTATCTAAGCTTTATTACATTTAAAAGGCCGAAAAAAAACCAGAAAATTCCTTTTATTTTTGCTCCCTGACCAAAATAAGATGAAGAAACAGAAAGGACAAATAATCAATACCAACAGAATGATAATAACATAGTAATAATAATAACAATGATAATACTAATTGTAACAAAACAATTAATAACAATAATAATGTTAACAAAAATTAACAATGCACAACAGATAAGATTTAGCGAGAAAATAAACAAATCATTGCTAACAAATCGACAATTTTGAACACTTATTTGCTTTATTTAATTGTTTATTGAAAACCAAAACCCATCGCAGCCTCACGGCTGAATTGTGAGGTCTGTACACAAGTAGCGAACACGTTGCAATTGTTAGACTATCTTATTACATTTCGAAAAATACGTTAAATTAAAATTGTTACTTACAACATTCTAACTTCAAATACTAAAGTTCGCAGTATATGTACATTCTAAAAACATTTTTCAATCATTCATAATCTTTAAAATAGATATATTTGTAGCTGCGACATTTAAGCGAATTAAAAACAATTCTGAACGAATGGCATTAAAAAGACACCTATTCTACATCAATGCCTATACCTATCCTTACAATGGTACTTTTCACATGTGGATAGGATGATACAAAACAGAGTTTCCTACCTGTTATATTCTGCCCAGGACTGAACTTATCGGCTGATGTGGTGAGCTCTACCGGTGGCGGCCTCGTGTCTCTTCCAGCACGGTGAGAGGAACCAAGCCTCAGCGATGTGCAGACCTTCTTCGAGGCAGGCGTCGGGAGGGAGGTCGCTCTGGCCCCGAAGAGCGTGGCTGCAAAGGCCGCTACCCAAAGAGCGAGAAGCATACCTAAAGAATCCAAAGGTAGAATTTCAAATACCTAAAGAAAAACCCTTTCTTTATCTCTTTCCCCTACGTATCTATCTCCTAAGAAATACTGCCATAGACAAGACGAGGTTGAGGTGTTGGTCTATCTGATGATGCAGCCACTCTCTGAGACACATCTGAGCAAACTGCGCGGGAACTTGCTCTCTCCCGGATTAGCTGATAGATGCGGCGGCGCTTGTTACTGCCTGATACATGTATCCGCCCACGTGCTGCTGGGCCGCTCACAGCCCGTTCTGTCCCGCTGCTGCAGCGCGAATCTCACACACATAACGAGCCCGTCGCCTATGCGGGAAATTGAGCAGTAGCGACGATGGTGCCGCCGTTGGTGAGAGACCATAGTCATCACGGAGCCCAGGGGAAGCAGACCACCCAAATCCAAAATCAATATCCTTACACAAATACAGCTATGGAATATACAAATAGAGGGGTACCTGCCGTGTACGTGCGAATTTGCAGCCCAGGTAGCAGATGCACCCCTGCAATGCCAAGACTTCCGACCGTGACCGAGCCAATCTTTGTCAGCGGGTCTAACTGGCAATCATCAGCACCAGAAGGCTATTACTGGCGACAAGTCGTTCATAAAAAGTGGTATTAGATATCAGACGAAAAGGCTATGCGTTCAACTGTATGGAAAGGCGGTTTTTATGACCATGGCTTTGACGCCATGGCAGCTATTACCGTGCTGAGAGGATGCCATAACGGTAGATTACAGCTAAGCTGGACAATACGTCTTGCAGCAGGCAGGTTTATACTCGCTGGTCCCACGAGTGCCAGTTTACACACGGGTGACTCCACCTTTCCGGTCAACACTCCCGCGTTTTCATTATTACAGCCTGGGGCCTGGCAACGGCCGGGGTTTTTAATAACGCCACTCTGTTCTGCTATTGTTTTATATTGATACAAGTTAAGAGAAATGTTCCAGATGCAAAATGTATTAAGCGAGGTACCTATTAATAGAGGTTAATGTTTGATATGAGATAATCACAATACCAAGCCAAGAACCAAAGACTCACGAGTCAATACTGTAAATGCCGGGGGTTTTAACGCCACTCTGTTCTGCTATTGTTTGATATTGATACAAGCTAAAAGAAATGTCCCAGATGCAAAATGTATTAAACGAGGTACCTATTAATAGAGGTTAATTTTTTTTTAATTTGAGATCACAATACCAAGCCAAGAGCCAAAGACTCTCGAGTCAATACTGTAAATGCCGAGGTTTTAACGCCACTCTGTTCTTCTATTGTTTGAGATAAAAGCTAAGAGAAATGTCCCAGATGCAAAATGCATTAAACAAGGTAAATAAGAAAGGTTACTGTTTGATTTTAGATGATCGTGATCCCAAGCCAAGAACTAAAGATTCAATTCTGTGTTACCAAATAGATAAGTAAAAAGGAAAAAGGAGCTAATAATGACAAAACTGTGATTTACATCTAAACATTTAACTGATTAAAAATGTGAATCTAAACAAATAATTTGTTATGTTATGTTTCATAGAATTATAGCAAACAACACGAATACTTATACGTCTTGAATTCCCGTTGCCTGGTATTGCAGCGATTTTTAATCAGCCACTCTTTTTTCATTTCTATAACACCGAGATGAGTCATTATATGGTCAGTAGATATCTTGACAGTTCCCTATCAACACAGGTTCACCGTGTTCATTTATTTTAGCGCCTTTTGGCATCTCAACCGTGACAAGAGCAATTGTAACATCCTTATCTATGACATTATCTAGTCCAGGCCCTTCTTGTTAAGCCATTACGACTATTGATGCTCACTTCTTTTTAAAGTCCAATCATTGGCTGCCGACGAAGTGTCCTGGGTGAGGTGAAATCAGACTTGTCGTGATGAGATGTGTCGTGGATACAGACTGAGCCCATTATTGGATTTACATTAGCCTCCCATTGGTCATATACACAGCTTAATGGACTTCATATCATCCCTGTATTACATCACTGACGAGATGAATAATGCTAAAATATCGCTTCTCGTACATTCTCTCAAAATGTTTGTTGAATAATCATGGGCAGAAAGAAGAAGCTATCTGACGGCAAACCGGCTTTTTGTTGCCCTCATATGAATTTTTTTAAGGATGGTGGAGGAATAGGAATTTTACCGAGTCTTACATTGTCACAAATGGTTCCATGGTGCATTTAAGGTAGCATTCTTCTTTGTGTGCATATATAACCAGAACTGATGTGTAAGATTATATCTGAAAAGCTTGGCGTATTTGTATTACACATGACAATGCCCTGTATGTACTATATAACAGTGACGCCAGTCAGCATAACGACGTTGTTATTGAGAACAGACGTTTTCACCATAGTGAACTCCCGTGGGAGGCTAACTCTTGTTACTCAATGTAATTTTCACACAACATGGCTCACTCGCTTATTGTATTATCGCTGCAAGGGGGAGAAGAAACCAATATGATTCTTACGTGGTTTATACGTGGTATTAGAGCAAGATAAATGGTCTTTTCCATAATGAAACATACAAAAAGCAATTACTGATGAAATGGCTTTTGGTTATTTGGCATTTACGACTTATGATAAATGACTCGACGGAAACTTATCAACGTTACAACCTTAAAATTACCATTGATTGTGAAGCTAGGTCATAATTTACATAGAGTGAAGAGGTTTACAACAGGATAAATGTTATTAGATTTTAAAAATGCAGAGCAGAAGGATCCAAGTATCATAAAAGGCTTAGAATTTATTTGGACAAACAATTGTTATGGTTTTTTTCGCAAATTCGAGTGTTCATCATTTGTAAACCTAGATCATAATTCACATAGAGTAAAGGTTATTATAAATGTTATTAGATTTTAAAATGCAGAGCCAAGGGATCCAACTATCGTAAAAGTCTTAAATTTTATTTGGACAAACCATTGATTGTAAAGCAAGATCATAATTCACATCGAGTGAAGATGTTTACAACAAGATGAATGTTATTAGATTTTAAAAATGCAGAGCCGAAGTATCCAAGTATCATAAAAGGCTTAAAATTTATTTGGACAAACCATTGATTCATCGAGTGAAGATGTTTACAACAAGATGAATGTTTAATTAGATTTTAAAAATGCAGAGCCAAAGGGATTCAACTATCATAAAAGGCTTAAAATTTATTTGGACAAACATTTTTTTTCGCAAATATACATGCATACGAGTGTTCATCATTATAAGGTCTAGCGTATAGCCCAAAGGCGTACTTAACGCGGGCTTCAGACAGTGCTGGCACGGTGTAAGAACCTGTCTCTATGAATATCAACAGGGGCAGGAAAAACATTAGGCCCACTTAAAGCACGTCCTCTCAAGTGAACTCAAAAAAGGCAGACTAAAATGAACGCTTAGAGGTAAAAGCAACTAGCGCGCTTGACTGTGTTAGAATGGAGCATAGTTAACGTCTGTTGGTACAGATAAGGACTCATGACTCAGCATGGGAGTGCACAAAAGCAGGATCGATAGCTTTAAAGCGTTTCCAGAATCACCGGTACTTGTCTTCACCACCCCTGGGCAGGCTGGAAGCTCGGCAGACTGTTTTCATTAGCAGCCGTCCAATCCACGCTGGGAACAGATGAGCTGACCGGAGGAGGTTTTCAGCTGAACGAGGCAGAACCAACAGCATCGCAGGTTTCGTGTTCGTCTGTAAAGCCACATCAAGTAATTAGTATGGATGGCATCAGCGCATGCATTGATTTTAGCATGGTTTTGGGAGAAAAAAAAACAAGAAATTTTGTTGCCATCTGACAGTGGTCAACGTGCCAAAAATGGGCAAAGCTGTAGCTGAAAGAGGCAGTGTTTTCATTATTTTGAAATAATCATATACTCCATGCCTGTCTTGAAATATTATGCTACATTAATCTAACAGTATGGTTTGACGACATTTATTTTCATATATGTACATAATTTCGTATGCATAGATCTTAATTGGTTGCTACATCATTTCTCCATATACATGTTCATATTATAAACAGTAAATGTATTAGATACTCTGAAGTAGACCGCATTTTCAACAATTATCGACGTAATGATAGAAACGACCTAGATAATCATTCTTTTGGCATAACTTTTTCCAGACAAGTTGAAACATGAAGGAAGAAGCTCTAATACACACCAGCCTCTATGTAAGGAGGTTTGATGCTACAGCGTAGTGGTACAAAAAGTCAGATCATAGCAGACAGCTTCGTTACAATCAAAATTGCTCCACCAGTCGTCTGCTGGACTCCGACGAAATGTTGATACACAGCACAGCAGCGAGCCTTGGATTTATTTGGCCTGCACTGGGACTGATGCTTTAAATGTTAGTCAAACACTCCGACAGGATTCTCCAGGAGTGAACCCAAATAAACCCAAAATGCCAAGTTAAATGTTTGGGTAGTTTGAAAGGGTTTCCTTGTCTCTGTCGAGGGCCGGGTAAGAATGCTGTAGCTACTTGCCACAACAATGTGATAGAACTAGACTTCTCTGGACGTTTTATTCCAGTGAGGCCAGTGGTAGGCAAAGCGACACAAGAAGAGTGCACAGCTTTGGTAAGAAACTTTTTTTAGAAACCCTCGGGTTTTTTATCGGTGAATGTTTGCACTGTCACAAAACGTGCAAGCTCTGTCTCAAATCAGTTTGTTTGTGCAAGGAGGTTTTCTTTTAAACCTCCTTTGTTTGTGGTACGGATTTTTTAAAATCTCGTTGTGCAATAGAAGCTAATAGTCTGGAAGCTATTACTGAACATGTTTACAGGTGGTGTGCTATGGATCAACCATTCGTTTACCTGCGACATTTTAATCTCCCTCAAGTTCGTAATGTTCCAGCGTAGGCCACTCGCTTGTTCCACCCCTCCGGATTTTCTCAGTAAGGTCGTGATGTGCCTCTCATACTGAAGCATACATGTATCTCCCCCTCATAGCTTTTCCCGTATTTCACATCTTAGGAGGACGCTCCACACCGAAAGCACATTTCTAAGAACCATGTCTATGCGGAACAAGTTTCTTTTCCTGACGATGATAACCTTAAACTTGTCAAAGAGAACAGGCGTTTGTCAGTTTCGAGTTCAAAACATCTCAGAGGCTGTCTCGTGAATTGAAGTAACGAGAAACTAAATAGTCAGGAATATTCCAAAGAAATGTTTTAGAAACCTTCAATAACAACATAACGCAACATA